GATGTTTCTAAGCAAAAGAGGGAGTGGGAAAAGAATAAAAGTGGACATGTTGTTCACTGTGTAAGGTTGTGAGAGGTGATTGCAGGCCGGTTTGGTCTTTTTATGACTATCTAGGCCTTCCCAGCTGTGCTTTCCAGACGTTTTGTTCTCAATCTCCCAGAATTCCTTGCTTGCACAGTGGCAGCCATCTTGGCTTGGAATGCACAAAATGGCTGGAAGGCATCAGCTTGGGGAAATCTGCAATCTTCCCCCCCCCTCAGCTCCAAAGGCTAGAAATGGATAGAATGGGAGCCTCTGAACTCCAGATCCCATCTTCCTTAGCTAAGGCAAGTGGTGATGGATGATGAGAGTTGTAGTATAGTGACATCTAGACTGCCCTAGCTTGTGTAAGTAAGGCTGGGGAATTCTGGGAGTTGAAGTCCACACAGCTTAAAGCTGCCAAGGTTGTTAAACACGGTTGTGTTATGGATTATGCATTCTTTCAACAGTGCAAGGAGGAAGCTAATATTTGAATTGCAAGTAGGTTTAATCCTATAAAACATATTTGCCAAGTTTTGGTGCCGTTGTTCAAAATTCAAGGAAAAAAAATGTAGGGCAGTAAATTTTGCATTCTATTATTTAAGAGTTGGAATTTAGAGTAGAGTTGAATCAAAGTCTTTCCTGTTCAGGTTCGTCCTCGGCTTACGACCGCAACTGACTGAGTCCCACGTTTCCGTGGTTAAGTGAGACGGTTATTAAGTCAGTTTAGCCCCATTTTACGACCTTTCTGGCCACAGTGGTTAAGTGAATTGGTGAATTAGTTACCTGATGGCTGTGGATCTGGCATAACAGAAGGTCGCAAGAGGGGATCTTGTGACCCCAGGACAGTGTAACCGTCACAAATATGAAATTAGTTGCCAAGCATCTGAATTTTGACCATGAGACCGTGGGTTTTTTGCAACAGTCGTAAGTGTGAAAAATGGTCATAAGTCATTTTTTTTCAGTGCCGTTGTATGTAACTTTCAACAATCACTTAAAGAAGCTCTGTAAGTCAAGGACTACCTGTAGTATTAGTGACATCAGGACTGCCCTAGGTTGCAGGGAAGGTGACAGGAACTGGGCATGGCTAGTGTAGTGAAGAGAAGGACCATGATAGCAGGATTCCAATATTTGAGGGGCTGCCACAGAGAGGAGGGGATCAAGCTGTTCTCCAAGGCACCTGAAGGCCAGACAAGGAATAATGGAAACTGAACAAGGAGAGGTTCCTAGAAATAAGGAGAAATTTTTTGACAGGGAGAACATTCAACCCATGGAACAGAAGTTGCCTTTGGAAGTTGTGGGAGCTTCATCACTGGAGGCTTTCAAGAAGAGATTGGACTGCCATTTGTCAGAAATGGTGTAGGGCAGTGGTCCCCAACCACTGGGCCCCGGACTGGTACCGGTCCGTGGATCATTTTGTACCGGGCCGCCGGTACTTGGGCGCCACCATCTTGTTTCGACGGCGCTTGAGAAAGTGCTTCCGGGTGAGCTTGTCGGTCGTCGGTTGGAAAGCGGCGTTTGGGTGCTGAAAGAATCCTCGCGCCTTAGTTTCGTCGAGGGGAGGGGCGGCTTCGAACGAAGAGCCGTCCCGATGGCGGTGGAGTCTCGCGTTACTCAGGAGGAGATTAAGAAAGAGCCTGAAAAGCTCATCGACCGTGAGAAGGTACAAAGGAGGAGTTGAAGGTGGCAGGGAGAAGCGGGGGACGGCTGGCTGGCTGGCCGGTCGCTCGGCTCGCCTTGCCTTGCTCATGCGTGCTGATGCCGGTACCGGTCCGTGGATCATTTTGTACCGGTCCGTGGTACAAAAAAGGTTGGGGACCACTGGTGTAGGGTCTCCTACTTGCGGGGTGGTTTGGATGCAAATGTGCCTGCACCCATAATGCAATGTGTGCATGCCTCCCAGCCCCCTACGCATGCACGTGTGACCCCCCGACACTTCCCCCGCTCCTGCGCATGCACACGTGAACCCCCGTGCGCGCCCCTCCCCCCACGCATGCACATCAGATACCCGACAATCAGCCGGCTGGCGGGAGGTGCGTGCGCACATACGCAGTGAACCTGATCTGGGCAACGGCTTGTGTGCCGGCAGAAATGGCTCTGCGTGCCTCTTCCGGCACGTGTGTCATAGGTTCACCATCACAGATCTACAAGGTCTCTTCCAACTCTGTTATTCTATTCCATTCTAAATATAAGGTTGTCTAAGCAGGGCTTAGGTAAGTGCCTTGTGGTGGATTACACCTTCTTTCCACACTGCAAGCAGGAAGCAAATATTTGAATTGCAAGCAGAGTTAACCCTATAAAACGTATTGGCTGAGTTTCATTGCCATTGTTTAAAGCTGAAGGGAAAAAAATTGGGCGGGGCAACAGTTCGTCTAATGACCATTCAAAGTTACAACATAACTGAAAAAAGTGACTTATTTTCACACTTATAACCGTTGCAGCATTCCCACGTTCACCTGATCAAAATGGAGATGCTTGGCAAGTGGTTCATATTTATGACGGTTGCAGTGTCCCAGGGTTATGTGGTGATGTTCTGATGTACAAAATCAATGAGGAAGCCAGATTCACCTAACGACCATGTTCTGCACATAACAACTTAAGTGTTTCACTTAATAATCCTCACAAGAAAGGTTGTAAAATGAGGCAAAACTCACAAATGTCTCGCTTAGCAACATAAATATTGGGCTCAATTGTGGTCGTAATTCGAAGACTTCCTCTTTTTAAGAGTTGGAATTTAGAGTAGAACTGTAACAAAATCTTTATTGTTAAACAGTGGAGTACCTTTTGGTTTGTTAGGACAAGAGCCAAAATGGAAAATAGTTGTGTAATTGTGATGAAAATAAATGTAATAACCAATAAAAGGAATAAAAAGATGAGTTCTGAAGTCAAAGTACTATAAATTTAGGTTGTTTCTCTGCCCATCAGTCCTACAGATCAGGCCTCATGGTTCCTCATAGTGACACTAACTTAATTATAGGTTGGCAATTAAGTGCAATTAGTAAATGCATCTACTTAGAAGGAAGTTGGAGTTTAGGAGTGGGTCGTAAAATTAGTCACTTGTTCACTTGTCACTTGGTCGTAAAATTAGTCACTTGTAAAATTTGGGTCGTAAAATTAGTCACTTGTTTGCAAACAGTTCATAACTATCTGAACTCTTTATTTCCTTATTAAATGTGATTTACTGGCTGTAATCTAGGGATGGGCAGCCTTTCAGTATTCGTCATTTCTTTATTCTAGAAAAAGAAGGACCTCTCACACACACAAACACACCATTATTTAAAAAACAAAAACAAAGTATGATAAGTCTTTTTTACCACTTGTAGGAGAGTTTTCTATTTTTCTCTTTAAAACGGAAGATAGCCATGACAATGACTTTTGGAAGTGATGTTCAGAGATAGTTGGTGGTGGTCCCTAAAAAAGATGTGTGGGAAGAAATATCTCATCTGGTTCCGTTCCAAGCTGAGAGAAAGACACTGGAAACATGGAGGCTGATTGGAAAGATGGTTTAATGATGAAGCAGAACCACCAAGCACATGGTTCTGGTCAGGGGTGGTCTCCAAAAAATTTAGCAACCGGTTCTCTGCCCAGTTGCTGGGTAGGCATGGCTATGGTGGGCATGGTCTAGTCTGCCTCCTGCACCACGGTGGGGGAGGGCATTTTCACCCTCCCCGGGCTCCGGAGGCTTTCCTTGAGCTTCCGGGAAAGTGAAAATGGCCTCCCCTGGGCTCCTGAGGCCCTCTGCAGGCCGGAAATGGGCTCGTTTCCGGCCTTCCAGAGCTTCCAGGAGGCCCATTTTTTGCCTTTCCCAACTCTCTGCGTGGGCCCTGCACCTAGCTGGCATCAAAAACAGGCTGCGTGTTGACTCCTGGAAGGGACAGGGCAGGGTGGGTGGGGCCAGCCAGGGGTGGGATTTGCCGGTTCACTGAACCGGCCATAAAATTAGATACCGGTTTGCCCAAACTGAGGAGAACCGGTAGCAGCTCACTCCTGGTTCTGGTGCAGCTGACCACATGGAGTTGAGAGTGGTTTTTATACTTCTCTTGGGCTTTGCACTTAAGCTTCCTGTTCCTATGCAAGAAAATGTATTGTTGTCAGACTCCCATGGGGGCCATATAGGGGTTATGTAGGGGTCATAGCTGGTTCTATAGCCATGATGGCGAACCTATGGCACACGTGCCACAGGTGGCACACAGAGCCATTTGTGCCGGCATGCAAGCTGCAGGCAGACTTACCTCACTGCACATGCCTGCACCTCACAGCTGATTTTCGGCTGGTTTGAGGCCTTTTTCGGCCCCCCAGAAGCTTCAGGAAGGCTTCTGCAGGCTTTTCAACTAGGCCCGTTTCATCACTTCCTTTTTTTCCAGAGATACCAGAAGTGATGAAACGGGCCTAGTTTTTGGTCTGAAAAGACTGCAGAAGTCTTCCTGAAGCCTCTGGGAGGCCGAAAAAGGCCTCAAACTGGCCGAAAATCAGCTGTGAGGCGCAGTACAGGTAAGGGGGTGGCAGAGTGGGGGTGAGGATTGCGCACGCATATGTAGGGGACGTGGGATAGAGGCGCATTGCTGGGTGCTGGCACGCGAGTACGAGTGTGCAAGTGCATGCACAATTTTGGGCACCGGAGCCCAAAAAGGTTAGCCACCCCTGCTCTATAGCTTGTCTGAGCTAAGTTTGGTTGAAGTTTCTGAGGGTGATGCAATGTCCTTAGGAGATTGTACAATGTAGTGAGCTCTGTGTCTTAGTGGGCTAATCCTATTATGTCCTGAAGGATCATGTCTTAATGGGTGGACCGCAGGCTGGTCCGCTCTTTCCAGAGCTCCCCGTCCCGGACCAGATCTAAGCACCCCACAGGCCAGATCTGGCCCACAGGCCTTGAGTTTGTCACCCGTTTTATAGGATGTAGGGTTTTTTAAAGGACTGGACTATTTTACTGAGGTACCTAAATAAATAACATGCTAATATTCTCTGTCTTCTGATATTTACAGGCCTGAATCCCGATTATGGACCACGATGCTCCTGCTGGGAACCTGCCTGCTTTACTGCGCCAGGGTCCTAATGCCCATCTGTGTGGTCACCATGAGCTCCCACTTTGACTGGGACAAGAAACAGTCCGGAATTGTGTTGAGCAGCTTCTTTTGGGGTTACTGCCTTACTCAAATTGTTGGAGGCCACTTGAGTGACCGGTATGGACAATATTACATTAAACCAGGGGTGTCAAACACGAATTCATTGAGGGCCGCATCAAGATTGGGTTTGACCTCAGGTGGGGGGAAGGGGACATGTCGGCATAGCCACCTTGATGTCACTCATGTCGGTGGTGCCTGTGATGGCCAGAGTGCTTTGTCAGTGAAAATGGGCTCCTGAGCTCTGTTTTCGGCTGCAACCAGGGGTGGGATTCTGCCGGTTCAGGCCAGATGTTAAATTTACATCTGGTTCACCGAACTGGTAGTTGAACCGATTGGCAGGCCTCACCCACCCCTCCCCGGAGTCTCCACATGGCTCGTTTTGGATGCAGGTAAATGCAGGGTCTGCGCGGAAGTTCTGGGAGGGCGAAAACCAGGCTGAACCAGAAGTTCTGGAAGTCTGGAAACAGGCCTCTTTCCGGCTTCTGGAGGGCCTCCGGAGCCCGGGGGAGCCCGTTTTTGCCCTCCCAGAGGCCCGAGGGAAGCCTCCGGACTCTGGGGGAGGCAAAAAATGACCCTCCCAGACATTCCAGTAGGCCACGCCCACCATGGCCACCACCCACCCAGCAACCAGGCGGAGAACCGGTTGCTGGGATTTTTGAAACCCACCCCTGGCTGCAACAGCCTCCTGCAATCTTCTGCCAGCAAAAAAGGAGTTCGGGAAGGCACTGCCAGGGGTGGGATTCAACCAGTGTTACTACTGGTTCGGTGACTACGTTTTGCATGTGCATGAACCGGTAGCATCCCACCCCAGGGCGTGGCCCTCCCAAGCTCCATTTTTGCTGGCAGAGGCACCACCGACCGGTCCTTCTCTGTTTCCAGGGCAGCCCCACAAGCCAGATCTAAGCACCCTGTGAGTTTGACACCCCTGCATTCAACGGTCTTAGCAATGCTTTGGCACCAAAGAAACTTATGTATTTATTTTATCATTATTCAACAATCGATAAAAAATAATACTCTGTCATTCATTAATGACCAGGAATAAGGATGTACCACTCGCCTTTCAATGAAACGTGGATGGATTTGCATTTTTGATAAGAATTCAGATTCTCTTTCATTGTTTCTTTATCATCTTTGGGGCCATCATCTTATTTATTTGATCGATCCTTCTTTTCCATCCGTGGAGCGTTCAAAGCAGCCCATTACAAAACCTCATAGATTATCAGCAATGACATATTTATCTCACTGAAGCCAAACGTCTGTGGAGAATCTCAATCAACCAGGTCCCAAAAGGCAACTGGACTTCTTGGGTTTTTTTTTCTCCTTTGAAAAAGTTCTGAAGCGAAGAAGCTTCTTAGGCAAGAAGCAAAATGTTTTCAAAGGGGGGGAAAACAGCTACCAAGAAAGTTCAATTGCCTTTTGGAAAAAGCACCTTTGGTTTATTGAAGTCAACTTTTGAATGCTTTTCAGACATGCAGTTCCACTGCAGGCCAGACACCAAATATTCTGTATAATATCCGTGCATCACAACTGTCTCTTGAAGAGATAAACCTTGTTTCTTTAAAAAAGAATAACCCTGAAGGTGGAATGGCATATAAAATAAAAGCAATTTTTCCTTTTGGAAGGATTGATCCCGTGCTTAAACCACTGCAGGCATAGGAAACATTGATTCCTTCTGCAAGGATTTTGGTACATGCACCTTGTCTGTGGAGATTCTCAGCCCTCCGGGCCATGCTTATTCCAAAGGTGCTTTTTTTTCAAGAGTTTCTGTTTTTTGTTTGAAAACGTTTCACTTCTCATCCAAGAAGCTTCGCGCACTTTGCGTCAGGCCCAGTAGTTCCTGTTTTCAACCTCCGCTTCTTGCATTCAACCAGGGGGTCTCCAAACCTGGCAACTTTGAGACTGCTGGACTTCAGCTCCCAGAATTCTACTCCCTAGCCATCCATAGAATTCTGGGAGTTGAAGTCCACAAGTCTTAAAGTGGCCAGGTTTAGGAGACTCCTGTCCTGAAGGAAGGGTCAGCAAGGAATTTTGGTGTGCAGAAAATGCTCTTGCTGATCGATGTCCTCATTGTCTTTCAGGATAGGAGGGGAGAAAGTCCTTCTCCTCTCTGCCTCGGCCTGGGGATCCATCACCGCCATCACGCCCCTCCTCATTTCCTCAAGCTCTGCCCACCTGACTCTGATGACCTTCACGCGCTTTCTTATGGGACTATTGCAAGGTGAGACAATCTGTTTCCAAAAGCTTGACTCAGATGAGTAAATTGGAATAATGGGGACTATTATTATTATTATTATTATTATTATTATTATTATTATTATTATTATTATTATTATTATTAT